CTTTTGTTGAAGGTCTGTACATCTCAGCCTCGTTTCTTGCTTTTCTTCACACTTGCAGGGGCCATAGTTGAGAAACCTCAGCCTGGCTAGAACTGCCCACACTTAGATTTCAGAGTCTTGCACGTTTGCTGGTGAAAGAAAAATAAAAGCAATATAAATTAAATCCCAGGAGAGAAATTGCCTGATTTCATAGAGAAAGAAATAATGGAGGAGGAGTATTGGGAAGATTATGGAGTGAGAAGTGGATGCTCTCTCATGTACCCCAGTTGTGAAACAAATCTGCAAGCCTTGGGGAGAAGTCCTGACTTAACCATGCAACGAACATCCACAAACCTGGAGATGTTATCACTGAAAAGATGTTGTGGGCTTGTCATCCCTCCAGAGCAAAGAAAGGAGAGAGCTGGGAGATCTACCAGGAGTTTAGGGAACATTTTGATCAGAACTATTCCTGTTCATGATCTAATTTTTATTACTAATTTTAAAAAGATTGTGGTGCCTCTGGGAATAATTTGGACTTTTGGAATGAGCTAAAGCCAGGTCTTTGATGTGTAAAGACTGAGATGCAAAGGAAGAGGGGCATGAAGGAGATGTGGGGCAGAGCTCCTCAATGACAGCACAGGGAGAAGGCACAAACACACACACCGGAGGAGAAAGCCATCAACAGCTTTTTGGGCAGCACGAGCCCAGCGATGGGAATGGGAACTTGGAGCTGTGGAAGGGAGGATTAAAAGGCAGCAGAAGAGTAACCCAATCAACTGCTGAAAAAAGTGCCTTGGCAGGGACAGGTTTGTGTTTGTGGGTTAGTGTGAACTGGGAAGGAGAGACAGCATGAGGAGCAACATGGTGTCAGTTTTAAACCCTAACAATAGGAGGAGGAAGAATCCTAGGTGGGATTATAAGGCTGAGATGAACTATATTAGCATTTAAAATATGAATAATCTAAATGTTTTTTAATTTTACTGCATTTGGGGGGAGGAAGGGCTTGTGCAGTTCTCAGTGTTTTTTCTTTTGTTGTTGTTGTTATGATACTGACCAGTCACAGCAGCATTATCTCAGCTGAATCAGATATCACATTAAGAAGGTAGCAGTGAACTTGAGTGCACTTACAGGGATTTGTAGTAATTAATCAGAGTGACACAGCTGGTCAGAAATATTTTCTTTAATTTTTTTTTTTTTTTGTAAAATACCTGAGTAGCATTCCAGTCCTCTACATTTTAGAAATAAATGAAATGCAGATAATTATTTAAAAAAAAGCCACACCAAACCCCCACAAAAAACACCACCAAAAATTCTCTGCAAAATTTCATCATTATCTGTAATGATTTAAAAGAATTATAGTTTTCCAGTATTAAAACCCCCTTAAATTTCAAAATTACATCATTTTTTCTCAAATGCCTTTAGGTAAAATGAGAAGCTTCTTAATCTAGATGAAATACAGCAAGAAACAAGAGGACACATTATATTACTAAAAACTGAAGCTTAATTGTTATTGCCACCAGCACTCATTCACTTGAAATCCGGCATTCCTTAGAAGGAAAGCGGGGTGAGCCACTTGCACAAGCCAGCAAAGCAAGGAAGACTCCCAGAACAGCAATGCAGGATTTTCACCTCTAATTGTGTCCCATATTTCTGCGTATAGATCAGAGCTAAAATGAAATTTGGTATCGAGCTATACCTGGGGCATTTTTGTTTCTCCTCATTATGCAACATTATCTGTGATAAATCAAACAGCACCACGATGAGGAGCAGGGCATATGTGAAGTTGGGCACCAACAGGTAGGGATTAACCAGCACACTGGAAATAATGAACCTTGACAGATCTAGGGTTAAATACTTTAAAATTAGCTCCTGCTGAAAGCCGAATCTTGTCGCTTAGCAACGGCCGCACGGGATGCTGCTGTCACTCAGAGGATGCTTCTCTGGGGAGTTCACATCACGCTCACAGAACATGGGCTGTGATTGGGGCAAGGTGACATCATATTTAAGGTAGCAGCCAACACGATTGCACTCGAGTTAATACCCAGAGATTTAAGGAAACATCTTCTCTTTTGGAAAGGCTCAGCTCTGCCCACACCTCACCAGACCCCTGGGAAGAGCCTGCGCAGAACAGCGGGACGTGCCAGCCACCACATCACAGCCAAACTCAACAGGTGGAGTTTTCATCTTTTAAATTACTCAGAGCCAAAAGAAAAGCAAAATGCCTGCTATTTGTGGAGGCCTGACCATATTCAGAGCATGGAAACCTCCAAAGCCAGTGAGAGAGAATAAAATGTACCCTTACTGAAAAGAACCGAAAATTCAGTTCGCTGAGCTAAATTTAGCACTTCTAACAACTGAGAACCCACTGGATTTTAGTAAGGAATCAAGATAACAAGTTAATTAAATAAAAAAAAAAAAGCCCTTGAGACACAAAATCTGTTTTTCAAAGCAATGCTGTGTTAAGGTTGGTACAGGCACATACAGAGGTTTTCCTGAACACCTGCCTGGCAACTCTGAAGTGCATAAGCACATCAGAGCATCTGAGGTTAGTCTGATAGTAACCATCTTGTATTTCTATATATGAAAACACCCAGATTCTCAATTGGTATCAGCACCTGTGGAATGGATACAGAAATTGGGAATTCAGTCCAACCTAGCACACTGCTCATTAGGGTCTGGAAAGTCAAGATACCAAGGAAATGGAGATTATGGAAACCAGCATAAAAGCAACACTCAGGTAGACATACCTAGATTTAGGAGACTGGATGTCCTTCTCTGAACATTGAAAGAGCACAGACAGGTCTTCTTTCTGTATTTTGGGCAGGCTGTGCCAAAAAGATGCTCCTGGTGAGGAGGAATATCGCCAGGAGGGATCACAAAGATCATGACAGATCTCATTAAATCAATTTGCAGGTCATGAACTACCAAATTTCCTGCTGACTGGGCCTCACCATTTGGCAGTGATGGAGGAGAACAAAGATAAGGATATACTAGCTGATAATAGGATTATGAGCAGGTGAAGGCCATGCAGGCAGGAGTGCTGCAAAAGCAGGAAAATATTAAGGCCAGGTTTCAAAAAAAAAAAAAAAGCACTCTAAGAGTGGTTTTCACTCTTCTCACACACATGCCAGCAAGCTAATTTCAGTCTGGAACTGAGGTACAGAAAAGTGGTTAAGAGGAATGAAAATCATGTCTTCCAAACGGAAAACAAATAATTCTGGTTTGTTTAACAAGTCAAGAGTCTAAGGAGGGAAATGATTGCTTTTGTACTGATGCAATAGGAAAATAAACAGGCCCCTGTTTAACAAAGAGCTGTTTAAATGAACCCTGGCAGAGGGTAGGTGGTAATTTTATGTTGGCTCTAAGAACTTTATAGCAGTAAGAGCAGGCAGCTTTCAGGGAAGCCTTCTGGAGGAAAGGGGAGAAAAAAACCCCAACCGATCTGAAGGCTGAAAATTCAAGCAGAGGTGATATTGCTTCGCCTTCCCAGATGCGAGAACCATCCTCGTGTGTAAAAACAGGGAAGATTTTTACAGCTAAATATGCTGGGAAAGGTCACAGCAACAGTATTGCTGGACTACTATGTAATTATCTCTAAGCTACATGCATTCACTCAGACTATTCAAAATAAGAACATTTACAGCTACCTGTAACCTCAAAATATGTGAAAGAATAACCACAGTCTGTGTCAAACTTAGACAACCATTTCTTCCAAATATATCTAATCTATTAGGTATTTCTTCCAACAACTCTCCTTAAAATACAGCTGGTGTGAGTGCATAATTGCTGCAGTTAATGCTTTATTTTGAGAGTTGTGGCTCCATACAGAGGATAATTTCCAGCAAGTCGTAACAGAGGAAAATACTCCTGGGAAATTTAACAACAAGCTCAAGGTTCTCAGAATAATATAGTGAATAACAATTAGAAAGGTATCATTAACATATGATACATGGCTGTGGTTTTGTCCAAACTAATTAGTGCAGTTGTTCTCTTATTAAGTCTATTAAGATGAACACTAAATCAAATATATTAATAGTGAACATATATTCTGTAATGTGTGATTTAATTTTGTTAGATACAGCAATAAAACAAGTCTCCGCTATCACCTACTGTTATCACCTGAAGTACTGAGAAGGTTGTATTGTCATCAGATCCTAGAGAGCGAGCTTCCCTCAGCAATACCAGAGGGTTAAACAAATAAAAATACAAAAGATGGACCAATGTCTGCTTCTAATAGAGATAAACATCATGTCACATCTTGTTTTCCTCCTCTGGTGCTTCTGCCTCTCAGGCACTGGAACAGCACACAGCATGTGTGTGCATTTGAGAGAAAAGCTGGCCCAGGAGCACCAAGGTGAGGTATAAAATGGGATGGGAAATATTATTTCTGCTAGTAAGATGGGTTTTTCCTACCTGTGTGCTTTCCATAAGGTCTTCTGTATAAAGAACCAACAGACATCATGAATCATTATCTAGAGAAAGTAAACTGAAAAAAAAAACCAAACAAACCAAGACTATGCTGCTTTATCCAGGGACCCATTTTTTAAATTACCTGTCCTGTACTAGGCTGTTGATCTTTTGAGTCTCATCCAAGTAACTTGGCCAGAGCAATACAGAACAGCAAATAATCACAGTTATTTCATCAGCAAAAGATTCAAGCTGCTTAAACAAGTGCTTTGCACAGAAGGGCAGAAGTTAGGCAGTAGTGTTTTCAGCAATTTCCAAGATGTCAAAACATTCCTTAGGTTCCAGGTCAAAGGGTGAAACCTTTAGATGCTCTTCAAACATCAGGGGCCAGCTATGGATGAATGTGACAGTAAGCAAATCCTGCTATGGACTGATAGGTGTTTCACAGATGTCTTCCAGACACATGCAGACATCTTAACCAACCCACAATGAATCACACACTGGGCTTTTTGCACTAATCCAGTCTCGTGGAAGAAGTTTAAACGGGAAGGTGGAATGCTCAGCACCACCTGAGACCTGAGGCAGTGTCTGCAGACAAAGAGAGAACACAGTGCTTTCTGTTTGCAATGCTGTTTATTTTAGAAAAGCCCCTTTGATCATCTGAATGAAAAATGTGGGCAGAAAAGTCACAAATGTTATAAAACAAAGTTTATTCTGCAATATTTTGTCATAATGAATTGCATCTCTTTGGTAAAAATAAAATTTATAAACATTTTAATTAACAGAGATTAGCATACAAAAAACTAAACTTTTGTAAATCGTCTTTAAAACAGGTAAAGGACTAAACCAGAGGAAAAAGGGTTAGAATTGGTCACCTACTGGCAAAATTATTCTAAACAAACCCAAGGACATTGCTTATGCTACATTAGAAACAAGCTAACGGGAATGGTTTTAAAACAACTCTGGTTCATTTGATCAGAAAGCATTCTTACAATTCACTTTTAAATAAATAATAGTTACAATGAATTGGCAATTATAAAATGTTTTATATCACTATATGGCAGTAACATAATACTTTTAATTATGCACTTTTTAGTTTGAAGAAATGTACATTTATAAAACTGACTTGATAATGGCACTGGCAGTTAGGTGTGAAGAATGTGCTTTAAGATAAAATAGCAGGTGCAACATTTAAAATATTTTAACTTTTCTTTTCAATAAATATTTTGACCACACCATTATTAACGTGTATGAGTATACTTTGCCTTAATTAAAGCTTGTACTTTTCAGGTTGATGAAAAGTTGCAAACCACACAACTTCCATTTTGCAGTTGGATTTAAAAACATTTGATGTGACTTCTCCAGATCAGTAATTTAGGATTGGAATCTGAAAAGCCAGTATAGGTTTGTACAGTAATCACATCAGATTTACCCTGAACAAAGCAACCTTCCATGAACACAGGTCTCATACACTTCTTCACTGCATTTAAAGAACTGAATGTGGTTCATTAATACTTTTCTTGCCAAAACGTATCCAAGTCAACCATTGGCATCAATATTTTACATATGTCACTAAAAAAACCCAAAGCCCAACAATCAAAATAACTTTGAATTATACTCCATTTATACTATATACACCAGGGTCTTTAACTGAGGTGGCAAACAAACCTGAACCCAACAGATATGTAAGAGAAAGGAAGGGCAGCTCCTCTCCCACTGCCAAGAGAGGTGTTCCACACTGAGCTGTCGGCCTGTGCTGCCAACGTGAGGGCAGAGGCCTGGGACAAAGCAGGGGCACAGGGTGGGGGCACAGCTCCTCTGCCTTCCCCTTGGGAAGCAGAGAGGGAAGACAGCAAAGCAGGAAGGGCAGGAAGAGCACAGCCCCGCTGCACTGCTCTGTGTCCCAGGGAAAGGCTGCGGCTGCTCCCCCCTTCCACCACTCTGGTTCTCCCAGCTGGAAGGATGGATGGGATCAGCTGCTAACTGCTGATCAGGTACTGGTTCTCACTGGTCAGTGCATATGGTGATTAAGTGCATTGTTAGCATCCCAATCCTTCAGATATGCTGAAGTCACTGTCACCAGCTTCAGGGTTAACAGCAGCACAGCCACACTCCCAATAATATCCTCCAAGTTTATCTGAGGCAAAAAATAATTCAGAACCAAATCAAAACATGGAGCTGACTATGACCACAGCTTCCAGAATACCTAGACCTCGGTCCAGCTTTCACTGGAAGCTACAGAAAGCTGCAACCACTTCAGCAGGAGCCAGGCAGCAGCACCCCTCTTCAACAGCATGACACTGAAATCATGGCACCGAGCAAAACCTCAGGCTGCTCACAGTATTTCTGTGTATCTGAATCCTCCTTTTCACACTGACACAAGCTCTGCCCTTAGCAGTTTTCCATGAGAGTTCAAAAGCAACCCATGAGCAAGAAGAAGCAGTTCCACCAAGCATTCACATCTTCAGCTCCTGAAATACTAAAAACCACTGTCTTGGTACTTAATTTTCTTTTAAATGGCGAGTTTTACCCCTATTAACCATCAGTATTACATGCAATATCAGATCTAGTTGGCTAATGCAGCACCTGTGACAGCCAGAACACCCACACATCTGCACACACATTGCCCTATTACAGGTGTAGGCTAACAGGAATGAAGCAGAGTATTTTCCTTCCCTATCAATAAATAAAACAAATCATTCTTAAAACTGAATTGGAAAAAGAAAAAAAAAAAACAAAAACCAACTTTTTTTCTCTCCTAGTGTTTGTGCTTTATATTCCAAAAAACCAAGAACCTCAAATATTTCAGGCTTGATCCAACAGCCATTGAGTCAGCAGGAGCACCACCGTTGTCTTCAAGAGGCACTGGAATGGGCCCTCAGAGCAACAGACCTTCAGCAGCATGGCTGTGTTTGCACTGGAAGTAGACAGTTTAGGACAGAATTCATGAAGAGACTGACAAATAAGAAAATAAAGAAAGAAAAAAGGGGCAAAAAACCCACACTAGTCTAAGAAAGGCATTCAAACGGCCAGGAAAATACTCCCTTAGGGAAAGGTTAACTTTTGGCTGAATCCAGCACTGTTTTCAACAGTGGACACTGGTTTCTTAAGTGGCTCTGCTCCTAATTTTTACCCAGCTTGCCCAACACCTGGTGGAAGCAGTGGCTTCACGTTGGTGAGAACGTTTATGGCACATCATGCTACCTTTCAGCAACAGGAAAGATGACCTTGGATAGCTGTATACAATTCTGCAACATACTTAAGGCATCCTTGTATGTACAGTACTGTTAAAACCCACTCCAACAGAACTGCTTACCCATTTTTGAACAGGAAAAAAAAAGGCAAAATCTACAGGAAGATGTAAGTAATCACCACTGATTTTAAAAGAAAAATAGGAATAAAGTTCAACATACCACAAAAAATATTTTTTGGGTGAAGGATGTCTAGGAACTATAGAGAGATTCTCTTATTGCAAAATAGATCTGAATCCTTTACATGGAAGTCAGAGCCCTTGGACAGAACAAAATTCACCTCTGCAGATGGGGCCAGTGGAGATGCAAATATGATCCACAGTGTGCATCTGAACAAACTTATCTCTGAAAAAAAAATAATGTCAACTATCGAAAAGGAAAAAAAAATTAAGGAGTGACCATTAAGAAGTATGCTTTTGGGTTTTCACATCATGCATATCTTCTAATTTGAGAAGATTAAATATTTTCTTTTTAGGTGGCGATTTAAAAATAAATGGCTAAATTATAGTTTGCGGCAAAAAAAAAAGCAGTGAGTCCTTTTATGGCTTTGATCTCCCTTGTGAAGGGCAAAAGTAGAAGAGTATTGCCACAATTAAAAAAAATATATGTATATATTCAACACTGACAAACACATTATTTTTTCCTTTGCTTGTGACAGTGGGTCTTTGCAGTACTTATTAAGGAGCTCAAGCACGTTTGGATGCCAGCAAGGTGGAGCAGAGACCCTGCTGCTTCCTTCAGCTCCTCATCGATCTCCTGACACAGCTCCTCGAGTACTTTCTTGCTGGGCTGACTCTCCTTAGAGGAATCTCCACAGGGCTGGGATGCGTAGCCGCTGTCTCCGAGGGGATCGTCTTCGTAGTCGCCGTCCGTGTCCACCTCGCTGTGAAAGCCCTCGCTGCCGTCGCTGCCCTCGTGGCTGGCCTTGGAAATGAATTCGTACACCTCGTCCAGGGAGGAGAGGGAGGACACGCTGGAGCGGGAGGCGCAGCGCTGCGAGCCCATGCTGCTGGCGCTGTAGTTGTGATCCTCGCTCGGGTCGATGTTGGCGGCCGCGGAATCGTTCTCCGGCAGGGTCATGGAGCTGGGGGCATCGAACGCGCTGCCGTAGCTCCTCTTCTTGGGCGCCTTCAGCGGCTGAGGTTTCTCACCTGTGAAAAACAACGGGTGTCAGTAGGCAAATGCCCCAGTGAGATCTCCTGCACCACGAGCACGCTGTGCCTGGCTGGCTGCAAGGGAAACTCAATTCCAGCACTTAAAAGTCACAATGTGCCCATTTACTGTCACCTACAGAGGAAAAGTCACCACCTCATCTCAACTAACACCTAGAGAGGGAAATGATGCCACAGGTTTTAGCTTTTATATTTTCCAGATTCTGTACTGCTTTAGTGTGTGGTTCTGAGCTTCATATTAGGGGATAGTAAGCTCTCTACACAAAGTATATAGACAAAACAATTCCTTCTCTAGTTGGGGACAAAGGACAAATTATCCAAATCACAGGCCCAAGAGCATAAACAACGCTGGACTGAAGAGAGAAAAACAAGAAGGTTGGGACCTCATAACCTAAAGCTGTAATTGGACAATTAACTCCAATATGCAAATGGATCAGAACTTAGAAAAGTGTGAGATCCCATGATCAGTTGCCCATTTTGTGACCATTTTGGGTTCATTGTGGATGTAGCCCTGGCTGGGCTCTTGTGCTGCCCAAGGTGTATCCACTGAGGCCTTAGAATAAATCCCTACTTTATTCTTTAACTTAATCTAGTCTCTCTCCTAGGTCAGCCTTCACAGGGCATCAAAGTAGCCAAGAAACTCTTCTTACTGTCAAGTACAGAGAGGGCAGGGATAGAACTTTGCAGGAAAAAAATCAAAATTAACTGGGAAGAGAAAAAAAAGGCTGCTTCTAATAAAACTCTTGCAATGCTAGCTGAAAGAATAATTAAACCAGAATTGCTTCTTGACTGCTCTTACTGTTTGGAAACTAAACCATACTTGTTTCCTGAAATTTTATAGAGAAAGTATTTAGTTGCTGAATAGAGCAGAAAAACAAGAGTAAAACGAGTTATGCTTACAGTCCAGCATCCCTTGCTGAATGGAAGTATTTAACAGCATCATGGCAGTAGCAGCATCAATATCAGATTCTGTGAAGCAGAAGCAGCAAAATGTTAGAACTCAGCCTGACAAGATGAGGCCTCTAAAATATACAAAGAATGCATATATATATTTGCCTGTACTGGCCTATACCAAAGAGCAAGGGTGGGGGGGAATGTACAAACTCAGACAAAGCATGACCCTTGTACAGCTCAGTGCTATTCCACATCAGTCTCATACCTTAACTATGACATTTCAAAGGCCGAGCTCTCACGTTGCACTCACTGAAGCCAAGAATCAGTGACACAATTAGACTTTCATGTGACAATGCTGTTGCTATACTTAACAAGTGTCTTTTGTTTGTACCAGTTGGGAGAGAAAGATTAGAGCCATGGCACAGCAAAGCACCTCAGCAGCTCCATACCCTGGCTGTGTGAATGTGCAGGGCCCAGGGCAGCCATGCCCATTAACGCAGCACTAATTCGGCACACCTCCCTCCTCCAGCAGAATTTTCCACACCAATAAGTCAAATGGAAGAAATTGAGACTGCACGGGGGGAAAGGGCACTGAACTGCTCAATCTAGAAAGCAGGGGGATCTAAATAATAAATAGGCATATAGAAAAGGTTGAGGTGAATTGTGGCACTGTCAGCTGCAGTGAGAAGCACTGCTGCAAAATGCCATCCTTTGCAGAGCAGATTGCTTACATTTCTGAAAGGCACCTTGAGGATAACAGGGCAGAGAGTGACATTTCTAACCAGAACAAGGTGAAAGGGAAAAGAAACAAGCACGCCTTTCCCGCTCATTTCAGGACATGTTTGTGCCCTTTACAGAAGGGGAAATCCAATCCATTCCTTGGCTCACTTCTGCAATGGAGGAAGAATACTCCTTGTACAGAACAGAAACAGGTATGGTGGACTAACCAGGCAAACAGGAGCACAGAGATAGTGAGCTCTCACAAGAGCCTGGGTGTCTGAGAGCAGATCACATCTGAGGTGTAGGCAGGTATGTACATATGCATGAGCAGTGAGCGGAGAGCAGGGCTGGAAGGGACCGGCAGCAAGCAGAACAGGCTCTCAGTTCTGCTGAACTGGAACTGTGCGGGGAACTGCTAAAGCAAAACATCAGCACTGTCATTTTTGATGGCATTTGCTTTCTTCCCCACATTACAAGCATTACTGTATTACTGAATTTAAGGGGAGGGCAGTACTTGGAGGGGGACTGCAGAGTTTGTCAGAGTTTTGCCAGCGTGGCTTCCTTATCTTGATAATTCTCCCTAACTTCACCCCCGGTCAAGGAGAAACTTGCAGAACATGACACTTTGGGAATGCTGTACCAACATGGGAAGGGGACTGAGCTGCTGTTTCCAACACAGGTTATAAAACATACACATTTTCCCCCTTGTTTTCCATGCCTTTCATTTTAAATCCAGCATAGTTTAGGCTCTACCCCACTGTACTCGTGTGACTTTTTTTTTCCTTCTCCTTTGGCTTTCTTTGGCAGAAACAGAGCCACTGAATTCACAGGTTATATGCACCCAACTGACAAAAAAGAAGTAGAAAAATAAAGCATGAAGAATTACTTTGCTCCACTAGTGTAATCAGGAAGTGAAATATTCCCATTCCTTATTTGCTATCCCAAACATTTTATTTTATCATATTTTATCATATAAGAACCACCTCATTAAAATGACAAGCAACTGGAGGCAATAATGCAATGCAGGATTACTGCCTACAAAGAGTATTTCTGCACCTTAACACTCCCAAAGAACGTGGAGAGGCACTTCTGCAGTGGCCTCTTAGCAGTGCTCTGTGTCACTGATAATATGCTTTGGCTTCGTTTGTGATTGCTCTTCTCAACAGTGCAGTATTTCCCAAAATTTACACTTCTCCAGCAGAATGGCTGAGGAAGCACCTTATTACAAGGAGTTCTGTTCATCTGCACGAGAGCTGCCTTCTGGGACCCCAGAATGGCTTGCCTCTAATGCCAGAGAAATGCTGAACAGGCTTCCCCACATACAGAAACTAAATGATACCAGATACCTGTCATTATTCTGGCACCTCTGGTGTAGCTAAATGGATGAGGCAACATCAGACTGGCAACCTCCAAACCTGTCACAGGACACACCAGCAAAATCCTTACGAGGAGAGGGATTTCTTGTGTTTTCCAACAAGTTCTGAGAATCCCAGATACAGCAGCCCTGCAGCAGGCAGCCAGCCAAGGGATGTTTCCTTGCCACCCAGATGCCACCTCTGCGGTGCATGGCCATCATCACCTGTGGGCCAAGCAGCTGCTTGGTCTCCAAAAAGCCTTGGCTTTGCTGCCTAACCAAAGCTTCTAGTTTGCGCCCAAAAACTAACAGCAACCTTCTCACCTCTAAGCCTACTGAGCCAGCAAATCAGGGAGCTGGGTGTCTGCTCAGGTCCCACCTGGGCAGTGCCTTTCACTATCCTGCTGAAAGAGCTGTAACAACACTCCTCTGCAACACATTTTGTTAGACTCAACCCTTTAAAAATGAGTACTGTTCACTTTTCAGCACTTAAAAACCAAAATTATTATTATTTTTGTCTAGGACAAGCCTAATTAGGCTTTATTAGCAAGGTGCAAGAGCTGTGCCCAACTGGCTCCTTCAAAAGAAATGCTGCAAGCTCCAGCACACTTTCTAGCTCCCTCTTGGTACCACAAGTTTTATACACTAACATTTGCTGCCTTTGGTTGTCAGTTCCTGGCCAATAAAACTGATAAAGAGATGAGCAGCTTTCAGATTAATTTTCTGCTGAACTATTCATTAAGTAGGTCATACTTGGGAGTGATGCATGTGCTGAATATTTTGCTGTCAGAACAAGATGGCCCCAATTACACCTTGAACTACCCCTCATGGATTTAAAATTAACACATGAGTAGCTAACACAACTCATGTGCATAGTACTACATCTGGGTTCTTTTGTCATCTAGCAAACCCTCCAGAGCAGGGACAGAGACAACATCAGCTGGGCTGCAGTCCATGCTTGTGACCAAAACCAGGGCAGGAAGTGAAAGGAAATTCCAAGTTTACCTTTGAGAGCTCGGCTGTGATTCTGCTGAAGGACTGAAGTCAGGTAGTGAGGGGACGACGACCTACTGAGAAAGAAATTCAACAGCTCAAAGCCAAGCCCTGATCAGGCAAATGATTTGTACAAAGTATAACAGACAAAATATTGTGATCATAGAAGGCTAAAAACAAAACTAATCCTATTCACCACAGGAAGGCAAGCAAGTTCTGCTACCCTCAGCAGATAGCTCAGCACTGGTTCATAGTTTGTGTAGCACTATTTAAGCCATCACCAGCATTTGAAAAACACCTCCAAATACACTCCCTAAGCAAAGTCTTGTTGGCAACAGTCACTGACTTCTACAGATTTTCTACACCTGCCTAAAGGCTGGATTTTAAACAAAGATATGCATTTTTAGTACATAAAACCTACACGTGAACAAAACAATAGTTCATACAGGGATTCTCAGAGGACGGGTAAGTACCAGTTGTGATCATTTGCTTTTCCAAGAAGTGGTGGGCAATTAACAGAAACAAAAAGTAATACCAAATTAAAAATCAAATCAAGACAGCTGCTGATTTTCAAGTTGATGCTATCCAGGGTGGTTTTTAATAATCAGACCAGCTTTGCACCAAAGTACCCATAAATCCCTCACAAAATAAAGGGCAAGTTAAAGCTTTCACTTTTTTTTTCTGCTACACACCCAGCCCTAAATATTCCGTTTATTATAAATATATCAGTGAGCAGTTAGAAGTAACTACAACAAAAATAGTACACACTATTAAAATTGCATGAAATGTAGCAATGTGCATATTTTATAGTGCTGCTAGAACAATCTGAAGGGTGATGACAGAATTTTCAAGCCCAACATGCAAGAGAAACCTCAGCTGAATGGGAAAAATGTGCAAAAATAGGGTTCACTGTCTGGTATCTTTTCTTGTAGTACCCACAGAGTGCAAAGGGAACAGATCCAAAAATGGGTGGGGGGAGAAAAAAAATTAAAAATAAAGAAAAGCAGTGGTCTAACCCAAAATGGCTGGCTTTGCAGCCCTCAGACCCGTTGTACAAAGAGATGCTAAACATCATCATCCTTTTGTCTGAGCTCAAATCCTTCAAAAATCATGTCCACATAGTCAATTAATAGTCCCCAAAGTCAATTAATACCTGATATTGATTAAGACAATCCATGCATAAGGTCTGAGTAAGATGAGGACTGTGGCTGTCCCCAGGGCTGTCATTCGTGTAGCACTAGAACTCGAATGCAGCCAGGGGCTTCACAAGGACTTGTTGAACAAGCTGTGCAGAAATAAAATGTATCAGGCATGCCAATCATCTATGATAATACAAATTTCAGTGTCACTAGACACAGATTACAGTTTTGGAAAGCTTCTGCTCAAAGCAACAGTCTAAATTTTATTTTAAAATCGTGCTGAATGATAGGCAGACTCCCCACAAATACACTGTAAAATAATCATGAACACCAGTCTTCCCACTGGAAAATTCAGAGACTGCCACAGCTGAATTTTAGGATCACTCTGAAGATAAATTTGGATAGCATTTCAGCTTCTCTCCAGCTGAACCTCTGGGCTTCCTCCCTCTCTACAACAAGGCATATCCTTGGGGGCCCTTCCCCAAAATTAGGGCAGAATTTAAATCAAATCTAAGCACGGAAGTGGAAAAAATAAATCTGTTTTTCTGTGTGTGATGGAAAGTCACATAAATGTTTTTCACTGAAGGAAAATAAAACAGCTTTCATTAGGGAGCAGTGTGGTATCTTAATATGTTGCTTCTTATTTTCTTGTACTCATAAATACAAGCACTGCAAAACCCTTCCTGTGTTGAAGTCAGTGGGAATTTTGCCATGTGGCTTCATTAGATCCAGGATTTCCTTGTAATTGTTGGCAAGTGTGACTAGTCCTTCAGTAAAGGGAAAAAAAAGTTACCAAAAACAACAGCTTCAAATTAAAGTCCTGCTCTTCCAAGTACTTAGGCATGCAGATGAAATGCCTCCTTTCTTACTCCTAATTTTGGTATGTTGCATTTATCCAAGCTGAGTAAACACATTTAACACAACTTTAGCTGCACTGATCTTGGAGACCCTGGAGATTTTAAAAGCTTAACTGGTCAAGGCTCTGAACTCCCTGCCCTGGGCTGAGTCTGTCAGTCCTCTGCACCTCTGGCAGCACAGACAACTTCCCATCTGGATTATTCTCTACATTTTAAAATCTGGCTGTACTAACACAGACAGAGCATTGAAGCTTCCAAGGACCAAAGATTCACTTGAGTTGTACCCAGAACCAGAGGTCCATCCCTTTACACAGAGACATTAAAGCCTGTAAAAGCACTATCCTCTAGAGCCCAATTACAGATATTTCAATAATCTTTATTCCCATAAACCCCAAGCAATACCACCAGTAATCTCACAGTTTCTAATCAGACTACTTCTTAATATTTAAATGTTTCAGGGTTATTCTAGTAGTGCTCCCCATTCCAAGAGAAAGCTGGAAAACAGGATACCTCTGCCTGGCTTGTTCCAGCCCAGGAGGGCCCTGGGTCGAAGAGAGACCAGAGACAACTGGTTTTATCTTGTGGGTTACAAACCCCACTGGACAAGCCCATGCCACACAAAAGTCTCAAGCCCCTAAGGCTTGCACAGGGGTGCAAGCAGCTCCCAGGGTCAGTGTCCTACTGGACCCTGAGAAAATGTCTTCTCAGTGTTACCAGTCTTACATCCTGCTCCAGGAATCCCAGTTCCTCCTGTTTGTCAAGGAAATTCCTTGCAGTAAGGTTAAGGCATAGGGCAATGTACAAACACCTTAATGACCTTTTATCTCACCCAAATTCTTTCCTGAACTAGATAAACCAGCCACATGCCTTCCTCAGAACCGAGCTCACCCAGCGTGCTGCGCTGCATTCTGTCCTCCTGCCTCCACAGGCTGACACAGCTGCTGCTCCTCTTCCTCTGCTCAGGAACTCTGAGTCAAACTCTACATGAGTTTGACTTCAAATTCTCCAAAATCTTGTGCCTAATCTTAAACTGTGTGGGTAAGGAAGTCCTGCATGCCCCACCTCAGACTATGTTTATGGCAAAGGCTGTCTTTTCCATCCCTGCTGCAAAATGCAGAGCCTTAGAGAAAAAGAACCCTCTCAGGGCAGCATCTCAGCACTTCAGACTGTGGAAAAGTTGATTGTTTTTGACAAAAGCACAGAATAGATACATTTTATATCCAGACAAGTGACTTACAGGAGAAGACATCCACCTCCTCTACCCTAGCACAGTTCTGATGGACTGTGCTTGAAAAAGGATTTTCTCCAGTTCCCAGGACTGCCTGCCCTCTTGCAGAAATTGGGCTCTCCAGAAAGCAGCCAGCACACCCCTGACCTTCTTCTTTTACACTCTCCCACAGTTAATAAGAGACTTGAACACATCCCAGCTGTGCTGTCTGGGAAGCCTGAGCTCATTGCATCTCCCCACCTCACCCAGCTGGTCCCACCTAAGGCCCACTCAAATTCTGCTCTTGGGTGACAGCAGGTAACAGCACTTCAACACCCTCTGCCACCCAGAGCGACGCGTCCTGCTGGGATGAGAACTGCACCTACCTGGGTGGCGACGCCGGTGGAGTATAAAATGCAAGTGCTGAGGAAAAAGGCTGTTTTTTCAGTGCTTGGACAAGATTAGGTTTATATTTTGGGTCAACGCACCACAAGGACCCTTTTCCGTTCACCTGCAATGAAAAAACACAGCAAATCAGAAAATCCAGGACCAGGCTGGTACAGTCCTTTCTAATTTAATACCCCCAAGTTGCAGCACAGTGCAGTGACTGCATGTAGGCACATGACACACAACATCCACAGGCAGTTCCATCCTCGATGGTCCCAAAATTGAGAAAATGGCCCTGAGACCCTCATTATACACTACTGAAGCACCCATCTTGCAGGTCAGGACAGCATCTCCAAAACCCCTCCTCTAAAGCCCCATACCCATTCCCATTTGTCCCCTAAATGCTGTAAACTTTATTTTAACACTCAATAAGCACAGCTGGGAGTTTAGAGACCAGTCCAGGCATCAGTAAACTGATCAGCCATCTTTTCTTTAACAGGTTTCTAGATAAGAAGCCAAAGCACCTTCCCCTTGGTTTAGATACAGACACATACTCATTAAATTTTACACCACCCTGGAAAAGGATCTTGCTCCATGTCCAGCTACAAAATGGATTATTCCCACTTTCTCAGAATCTGAAAACCTAATGAATGTATTTTTGATGCATCTAACAATGTAAGCACCCCTGTGCTAGTCATTCTCTATATTAAATTTGGTATATTGAAGCTTAAGGAAGATAAAGCACCTCTTGCTTGTCTCAATGCTTTCTTCATCAATTTACTACATAAGGAATCTTTTTTTTTTTTTGAGCCTGCTATTTCTTGCAACTTAATTAAATAGTTCTATTATAAAATAGAAATTCTATAATCACTGACCTGACAGATCAGCTAAAAGCTCTGCACATAGCAGCACCAGATTTTTTGGGGAAAACAGATGCTACAGAAATGGAAATGTACATGGCTGAAGGATGAGGAAGCTGTATACCTGAACAGTAAGATCCTTCTAAAGCATTTCTGGAGGCTAAATATCAGAGCAGAAACCCAAGCTTCACGGAGAAGCTCCTGTGAGCCCACAGTGGCCAGCTGGTCTCCTGCCAGAATCATGGGGTCCAATAATACCAGTTTATGGATGGATGCTCCATGATTTACCCCAGTCTAAAAAGGACTCAAAAAGCAAGTAAGTCTGTGGTTCTATTTAAGTCACAGGGGGTTTCTGAGAAGAGTAAATACCTTGCTATCAAGAGAAAAAAATCAAGCCAGGGAGAGCCCCAGCTGAGAAGGAGATGCAGCTGCAACTGCAGCTAAAGCCACTATCTTTAACGAACATATCTGAGCTGCTGCATCTCTCCAAGTTACTGTTTTCAACCTGAATCTTCCTTATACTTATCTTTTCATACTAAAACTGAGCACAGCCTGCAAAATACTTATCAATAGCTTACTTTTAATTAATTAACAGCCATGGTGGCTGGCAGGATGATTTAACCACCTAGATACTAACAGGAGGCATCCTCTCAGCTGGCTCTATCCCTCATCTCAGTGACAGACTTACACCCTGATCTTGTACTTCTCCCAGACCCCCCTTTCCCAGTACCCCAACCATGCCCTCCTACTGGCTTTTTTTTCCCCCTCCCTTTCACAGTTTGGAGGCTGTTGCCCCCAGGGAGCAGCAGAAAGTCTGGAGCAGCAAACCACTTCTGTACACTGCTTATCTGCTATCTTATCTTGTATTTTAGGTGAGCAATTTTGCTTCATGCCTCATTCAGTTCAACTGCTGGGGGTTAGTTTCCCCTCTTTGATCTTCCCAGCAAGGTACTCCTCCAGCTTGCTGCCCTGACAACATAACACTAGGATTTTGGGTGGGTATTGCAACAGCAAGCTGAACCTGGGCACACCCTGAAGCCATCCAGATACCGACAGATCCAATGCAACAGGCAGTAAACAGGGTGACTTCTTCTTTGGGTCATGTGTAATGTGAAACCACACTTCCACCCACCTTTGGAGAAGCTAAAAGTAGACATTGAGCTGAAGAGATGATGGAGCTGCTCCTGTGCTTGGCTTGCACCCTCTGCTTAGCAAAGACAGGGGGAGAATCAAGTGTCAGGTGTTAGGGGAAAGCCTGCCACAGCTGGAGCTGGAAATGCCACAGAAACAATGTCCAGCTTCAAAACAAGCCAGAACAGACTGTGCCATTTCTCCTAGCAAGGACTAATTCAGGACACTCTAAAATGGTAAACTGCCTCTGGAGGTTAGTTTTTCACTTCAACAGTGAGGCAAGTGTTGGAATGAACTGTAAGTGTAACTTTTACTTAAGATCTAGAGAAAAAATCCCTCCAGAGTCAGTGAAAAGAGGCCACCAGGCTCTTCTTGCTCTGCAACTCAAAACAGGGGCAATCATATAGTTCTGGGTTTAGTTTTTGGTCTATCACCTTTTCTGCATCTAATGTTTCTAATTTGACTTGCAGGATTTTATCTAGGCAAAAATAAAGAAAGGAAAATAACTCCTGCATTTTGTTGTATTGGAGCTATTTTGTAAAGACAGTAAGTTTCCAGCACCCAGCATTTCAGGGCTGGATTACAGAAATGTGAGCTGGAAACAAAATGCTTCCCATGATCCAGCCTTATCCTTTACAACCACCCCACCACAGTCCCACACCAGTCCAGTGAGCAAAACCCAAGGAGCAGCCAAAGCAGAGCAGCTCAGCTGGTGCTGGTGGCTCAGGCTTCCTGCAGGCACAGGTCCCTGTGCTGCAGAGAGCTGTCATCAGCTTCACACCTGGCCAGCAGGTCTGGCTCCATCAGGGATGGACAGTGTTCACCAGCTGCATCCCTCTGAGCAAGGTGAACCACTGGAAAATACTGTCTGTGTGCAAGGAGGTATAAAATATATTCACCAAAAGGTTTACCACAGAAATAGCATCTCTCTCCTATCTCTACAGGCATATAGATGAGACCTGCCCTGCTCTTTGTTCAAATACTTGAAAAGCTACAGATTGTTTATCACCATCTCTTGACAAAAAAAAAATAACCTGAGCAAGGTGAACCACTGGAAAATACTGTCTGTGTGCAAGGAGGTATAAAATATATTCACCAAAAGGTTTACCACAGAAATATCATCTCTCTCCTATCTCTACAGGCATATAGATGAGACCTGCCCTGCTCTTTGCTCAAATACTTGAAAAGCTACAGATTGTTTATCACCATCTCTTGACAAAAAAAAAATAACCCACCATAAACACCTAACCCAGATATTTACCAAGAAAATGACATTTGTTGAAGATATTCAAGTCCTGTAACCCCCAGACTCAAGAAGAAACAGTGGCAGGGCCACTTCCATGCAAGCAGGAGCTTGCCAAATTAATGTTTGATGTGGATGCTGTTCCTACCTCCACACACCTTTTCTCCTCAGCATCAATTAATGAGTAACTCCCAATGCCATAATCATAAAAGCACATCTAAGCAAAGAGCAGGGAGACTCCTCATGGCTTTTAGCCCCAAACCCCTTTTCATCTGAGGCCCTCCGGTGCTGTAGATCAGATGCTGCTCCCTCAAAAGAAGCAAAAAAGCAAAGTCACAGTGTAGGCGCCTCTCTCCCCAACCCCAAGGCAGCACAACAGTGCTTAAGATGCAAAGAGCTTTAGCTGTATCTTCTGAGGATCACTGACTCACAATCACACCTCCACATCTTCAGGGGCACCAGAGCCACAGCAGGAGCACTGGAAGGCAAGCAGGTATCCCTGGGACTGCTCCAGCATCACCCCCTTGATGTTCATCACCATCATTACCAGAGACCCACTGGGAATCTCACCTGCCTGGCTGACTGAAGACATGTTCTCTACTGCAGCTCTAAAAGAAAAGGTATTTCTGCTCGTGGGTCTGTCACCTGGGGTAAACCTTGACACACCACTTAGATGCAGCAGCAGTGTGTTACGTGCACACAGAGCTGGCAATGGTATTTTAGCAGAGTGATGATGTCCATGCATCCTGATCCCATGGCACAAGAAGTTCCTCCTCTTGACTGCAATGCTGGCTCATGAGGAATCTCAAGGCACTTACTTTCCCTTCAGCCCCACTCATTAAAAGAAAACCACAAAATGTAATTTTTTCCAGTGGTCCAAGCAAGGACAGTCTTCCCCCAGTCTCTGTTGGATGCTGTCCCAGACCTCTGGACCCCTGCAGCCTGCAGGGATTCAGCTGGCTGATGCAAATATACACACAGAAAAATCAGCCACAGATGTGACCCTCCAGAGCTACATCTGCAACATGATGGAGCACAGTCTGGTGGAAAGAGGTCTGCAGAATAAGGCAGTTGGTGCTCAGGGGTCACCTGTTTGTGTCTTGGATGATCTGCTCAGATCTGCACCAGCAGGGCCTTGTGGACAATGCTCAGAGCACAGTAAGCATGCTCCTGCAGCAACTCTTCCAGGTCAGCACCAGCCACAATGATTCCAGTGCAAGTGTCCTGAAACTGCCCTGCAGTGCCCGCTCAAGGGGGGTAAGTGGGGGAAGATCAGCTTTCCTTCAACGTGCACTTCGAATCCAAAACAAAATATCAGCATTATAGCAAAGATGAGGATGAACTCTTCCTTCTTTTGCTGCCTAACCTCAAAGAGATGATTTCACAGCTGACAGCCAGGGAGGTGTCAGAGAGCAGAGCCTGCCCTGGGATGCAGGGGCACAGACGATCCATCCCCTACTGTCAGACATCTAGACTCTTCCAACACAAGAGCTCAGATTCATTTGAAAGGCTGTAAAACCCTTCATACCTTGATGTTACCAAATAAACAAGGTTCCTCTGATACAACATGCCATGGACCTTTCTGCTTCCACAGGCACTTGGCATAGAAGAAGGCTCATTGCGTGCTCCCTTTGAAGTACAAAATGCCATCAACAAAGGAAAGAAAGGAAAAAAAACCCAAAATTATCTTGTCCTTTCAGGGAAGCACCCAGAGGCATGGCTAGCACATGGCTACATGCAACAGGATCACCAAAATGAGCTTGTGAGCAACTGCTGCTTGCTTCAAGAAGTGACACCTGAGGAGCTCATCCAAAGGGGTTTGCAGCATTTCCATCATCTGCCAGATCAACTCCCATGGGGTTCAGGCATGCTCCTGTGTGTCACAGACTTATTTTGCAGGAAGAATTTGGAGCAGTACCCTCATCTGGTCCTTTTCTAGAGGGGGAGAGGATAAAGACTGAACTGCTGTTTACTGGAAATGAGGAAGCTTCAGCAAAGTTTCAGGAGGGGCTTTTTTGGGGTGGTATTTTTTTGGTAAGCGCAGTTTCTGTTCTTCAGAATTACACAGCTGTGCAGTTTCTGGAGCCCTGGGAAACCACTGACAGGGCACATCAGCATCACCTTGCTGGTAGCAGTGGGAAATATTGTGCATTTTGCTCTTCCTACTAGAGATGTCACATCGAGCAGCAAGCCATCCTCTGAGCCCAGCAATACCCATGGAGATGCCAGGGTAAGCAGGGCACCTGGCAGTGTCAAGCTCCTGCCACCCAAATGCCAAGACAACAAGTTTGACTGCTAACTCCTAACCCATGAGGCTGGAAAACATCAGAGCATTTAAGGGCAGCTCCACAGTCAGAAGGAATTCATACCAATTTAGATTTCCCTTTCCTGCCCTAATTTTTCTGAAACTCATGTCACCTCCCTTGGACACAGCCACCCAGGCCTTTAACAGCACTTCTGTCACCTAAAGCATCATGTGGTCCCTGCTCAGATCCAGTCCTCCACACAGCAACAGCTTGAGCATCTCAGTTACCCCATTACAACACCCTGAGCCACGTTACGAGCCCATCCTAACACTGAGCAGGATTCAGCAATGGGGTAGTTAATGGACTTGCCACACTGCAATAAAAAGTCACCTTTTTTTTTCTCAGGGCAAATCTGCTGTTTGTGAAAACAACGTCCTAATAATTTAATGCAAAAGCAGGAATACTGTGAAGCAGTGGTGTTCAGCTCTATCAGTACAAGGCAGTCCTCCCCAATGCCCACTCAGCTCCAGGACCCCTCTCTACAGTGGGAAGCTGCCAAGCACTCCAAGCATTGCAGGCATTTCTGATAACGAGCCTGCTACCACAAAGTCTGACCTCCAAGCACAGGACTTGTTTGTTGACTTTCAGTATGTGGTTTGTTAGTTTATTTAAGTCAGAGCCAGCTCTTTGAGGAACAAGATGGGGAATGAGAGAGGGAGGAAGAAAGTCAGTAGTAAAATCATATGTACAGAAAAGAGTATCCTTGACTTTAAGAAGTGTGTCTGCACCACACAGAGATGCACATCTTATGACAGATGTTAAAGCACTACAGTCCATTAAATGCAGGAATTAATATGGTTATTGGAAAGCCAGAGCTGTGCTAAGTGTAACAGGAGATCACAAGTGGAAGAGTCAATTTAATATCTGAGAAAGCTGTTGGACTGAGGAACACTCAAGCATGTACATCTAGTGAGCCCACAAGCAAGGGCACCTTGCAGGGGACCACATCTGCACCCAGAGGGGCAACATCCCTGCTAGCCAAGCAGGGAAGCTGGTTGGCATCCCATAATCTCCTCTGCTTGCCAGTGTGACTGTAGCCATGGCCATGCTGGAAAAGCAGGGAAGGAGGAACATACCCCAGAATTTCAGCACTGGAAAATAGAGAAAGCCCTGGTTTAGGAGGCTTCATCAAGAAGAAATTCTAGGAGAGTTACCTGAAACTTCAGGCTGGTTATTGCAGGCTAACAAAATTTTAAGCTAATGGAAACAAGAGTCCTTTGCAATTGCATGTGTGCCAGATTTAAAAAGGATACACCACAGCTGGGTGTACGTAGGTCAACAATAAACAACAAAACCCAGTGACTTTTGTCATCCTGTGATTTCACAGAAGCAGCATTTCCAAACCACCTCCATCTGCAAATAAAGTGTTAATAACTGTAATAAAGTGTTCACGGTGGGGTGAAAATGACCCAAACAAAACATGCTTATGAACAACAGAACCTTCTCCATTTCTCCCTGGGTTTCCAACCTGCTCCACCTCTCTCCTGCCAGGTCTCACCTTGCCATGGCTTTTCTCCACCTTTCGGAAACACTTGTTCAAAGAGAGGTTGTGTCGGACCGAGTTCTTCCAGCCGGTGGGGGCCGTGGCGAAGTAGGGGAAGCGGTCCAGGATCCAGCTGTAGATTTCTTTGACTGGCAAGCTCTTGTTGGGAGACTGCTCAATCGCCATGTAAATGAGAAGGCTGAAAGAGTAAGGGGGTTTGGAAGTGGAGGATTTCTTCTCAGGGTTCTGGTAGCAGGACGGTGAGAAGGACGGCACACTGTCACCCTCGATGTCATACAAGGGGCTAACAATGGGAAGGCCCTCGCTGCCGAGGCTGAAGTTTGTTAGCAGGTTAGTACTTTCGTGCAGCCAGTTCAAATTTGTCAGCTCATCATCGGCTGAATCTCTGTCCACCACGGTGGCCTTTGGCTTGCCGGCGTCGCCCGTGTCGGGCAGGCTGCCCATCCCATGGCACTGCCGTAGTCCTGCGGCTTTTTCTGCTCCGGGCGTTTCAGCTTTCTTATCCGGAGTCATTCCAGTGACTGGACCCATTTAGCTTGATTGGTCTGCAACAAAGGAGATGGTCAGAAATCATTGCAAACTACCCCGATCACGTTCAGCAGGAGCCCACCAAACCCAAGCACAGGGCTGCACCATCCCCATTGTCGCCTCAGGCCCCCAGCTGGGCAATAATTAGCATTGACTCCATGATTGCAGAAGGCTGATCAATTGCTTTATTATATCACATCTTATACTATAATACAACTTATATTATAATACATTTACTAAGAAACTCGGTAACCCTTACAGCCAGTGCAATACAGCTTTGACCTAATTGGTCAATCTATCCAAACACCATCCAGTGTCTAATTAAGAAATCACCCTTTGGTAAACAAATCTCCATGACACATTCCACATGTGCACAACAGCAGGTGCAACAAGTAGAGATAAGAATTGTTTCTCACTCTTCTCTGATCTTCTCACAGCCTTCCCCAGGAAAATGCCTGGGAAAGTCTGTGCCTGCTCTCTGTGGCCAGAGAGCTGCTGCCACAACCCATGCTGTTCACTAAAACACTGATGCCACAGGTGAGAGCCAGGGCCCAACAGGAGCCTCCCAGTAAACTCATGAGCACAAACTCCCCTTGGTTTATAAGCAGAGCTTATGGGTAGCACTTAGAAACTGTTATATCTCTCTAGAAGCACCAATTCAGACACAGAAATAATAGCTGTTTTCATGTCAACACCTGAAACCTGGAAAAAACCTTAACAGGTAGGATCTAATCCATTCAGATCTCACATTAACTCTTAAGTTACTCATTATATTGTAACTGATCCTGTTTAGAAGTGTTTGCCTTTCGTGTCCTAAGAGTGAAAAAGGAATTGCAAAACTTAAACCAGCATAAAGTCTATTTGTGGTCTCAGTGCAAATGAAATCTTTACAAACCCCTACAAGTCACAGTCATTCCCAAGTGCTGCTGCCTGGTTCTACCAGGGGAAGATCTGGCCAGCCTATCTGTTCATCACCTGCATCCCACAGAGCTGCCTGAGTCCAAAAGATCTTTTTTCCCTCCTGAAAGGGCTTACTGCCCTAACCTGGGCTTCCCTGCAGAACAGAGAGCACCGTGACCAGTTCTCAAGAGGAAGGGACCAACCACTGAGGTGGCAGCTCAGACCTGCAGGAACACTGGCTCATCACTTAGATAAAAAACCCCAAAACAACAAAACACTGAAACCCTAATAATAATATTATTATCTATAAAACACTGCCACTCAATGCAAGGTCTAACAGGCTACCCATGCTTTAGAGGCATTACACCAACAGACACCACCTTGCTTGTAGAGTTTCAAAAAGGGTCTTCTAGCAAACTGTATTATGGGAACAGCTGTTTTTTTCCTGCTGATGTGAGCACTGTACAGATGTAGGGGGTGTACTTGTACACACACATGTACACTACAGACATAAAACACTCCAACTATGAATGCAGCTCACAGTTGTAAATAGCACAAAGCCACACTGAGGTTCATATTAACTGTAAAAAGATCCAACAAAACAACCAAAGAAAACCCCAAACCCCATTCCAGTTCCCTGTCCCTGTAAGCCCTATCATTCTGGTTTCACGCTCCAGCTCCCAGTGCCAGAGCTCAAGATGTGGACATATCACATCTCACCAGACAGCGCTACGCAGTTATTGCATGTTTTCTTACACCACTTTGCAGTAAACACTTGTCTTCTTGCTCTTCCATCTCCTCTTACCAAGGGTCCACTGCCTGGCTGTGCCACCCCCAGACTCAGCCAGCTCTAAGCTGGCAGCCTCACTGTGCCCCTGGCAGAACACTGCCAGCCTCCTTTTTTGGGAGAAGGGGAGCGATACGTGCAATGGAGGAGTGACGTGGTGACACAGAAAGGCAACAGGACAATCCCTGACATGCTCCCCAGCCCTGCCAGCCCCTGTCTGGTGCAGAGGTGCAGAATTTGTGCCTCCCCCAGGAAACACAATGTGTTTCCCACCAGCAGTTTTTGTTCCTCTCTGCATCTGCTCAAATGCTCTTGCACCAGTATAGCTGTGTTGACAATAGCACCTGCACTTATGCTTACCAGTAGCAGTGCTGGAAAACATCCATCAATTTTTTATTTTCTGTTTCTATTAAGTGCAGGGACGGGTATGATTAACTAGCAGCTCAGTCAGTATCAAAAAAAAAAGAAAAAAATTAAAGCTAAGTGAGCTGCTGAAATAGCTGGTCAAAAATAGCTTTGCTCTCCCTACAATTTACTTCTCCCCCAAGGCACCAGAGCAGATTTATATTGGCAGTCAGAGATGGCTGGCTTTAAACACAGCCATATATACATATGCTCATGTCACTTCTTCAATCCTTTCTTACATTAAAAAAACCACAAACAAAGAGCTAGTGATAAAATTCATACAGTGAGACAAACCCCAACTCTGCTGCAACGTGAGCTGCTCTGTTCTCTTTCTAATGATTAACTTTGCCCCCTTGTTGAGCACCTCTTTAGGCAGCTACACAGGAGCTTACACCTCACAGCCGTGTTTTGGTAATTTTAGCTCCCGGTTCAGGTTGCACGAAATCTCCCTTTACAAACCCTCAGTCAGCATGGCAGATCAAGAACATGCACATGCTGACACACACATGCAAGTCTGAGGTCACTGTACTCTTTTCGTAGGGGGCAATAAAGTCTGTTTTCAACACAAAAATGGCCTAGGCACGCTCAGTCTTCTCAAAAACATAAGGGAAAAAATGTAACAATTTACTAAGCTGGCATTTATAATCAGGTGGACTTTGTGGTGTCAGTGCACTGTTTGTTTGCATGCTACTGTGTTTTAGCAGAGAACCATTAGCGTATTTAATGCCCTACATGAAAATAAAAATCATTTGCAGGTAACATACTTACAGTAAATAATATAGGTTCATGTCATGTTTCTCTTAGTAGATGTATTATAAAAATCCACATCTCATTACCTTCTTATCCTAGTTCACCACCTCACACACATTGTACATGAACATATGAGAAATTAATTTATTTTTTCTAGAAAGGTATAAAGGCCATATTAGACTATTATCAACTGATAAATAAGAAAAAATAAAGTCACAGGAGCAATACCAGTGCCACTGGAGCATATCTGAAGGCACACAAGTGGTTGGCTTGTGTGCTCTCCAGAACCCCTCTTCATTCACACAGAACCTTAATGACATCCAAAATGCACAATTTTTTTCTCCGTATGTGCTCTGATTGCCTATAAGCAGACACACCTGTAAGAACACAGCTTCCAAGATGTCATTTTCAAGATTACCACTTCCAATATTTGGGCTTTAATGTTTTACATAAGGGTGATGGAATTCACCAAAGCCATCTTTGCTGTAAGCTGGCAGGGTTTTGTGCTCAAGGATGACCCAGCAGAAAAACCACAGTAAGAGCAAGTAGAGGAAAGTGTGAGAAAGAAAAAAGCACAGAAGCAGCTCTCCAGAGCAGATGTTTTGATAATTCCCAGGGGACAGCCCCAACCCTGTAAGCAGAGCCAAGAAGGCAACCTCCAGCCAGGCAAATGCAAAATTAATACGATTTAAGCACACCTCTGAAAATTAGGGAAGGGCTTGTGCTCTGCTCATGTGCTTTACCCTACCAATGAGTAGAGTGACACAGCACCCTGCTGTTTGCTGGTACTAACACTTCCAACTGTAAGCAGATCCTCATGCATCCAAATCCTAAGGAACTCAAGGATCTATCTCCTGTTGGTACCTTCTAAAGAAAGGCCAAACAAAGCATCTACCCCTTGAAGTATCACAGTGGAGGTGCACATCATCTTGCACGGTAATTACAGACAGAGGACTATGATTCCAGGGAAAGAAGATTAAAAGGCTGCTAAGTCAACTGAGGCTACTCAAAAGTTTAGGATGTATCCGAAAAGAGGCGAGAGACACAATCTTCTTCCAGTAGTCTGATTTTTGGCATCACATAAAAGCCAGGAGCAGACCTCCCTGCTAATCCATGCCAGTCCAGCACCCAAAGCCCATGAAGACCTGCTCTTCCAGAGCACTCACAACCCGCAGCAGAGCCCAGGTCTGATGGGGCTGGTTAAGGCTGCAGGTGCATCAAGGCAGCAGTTTAGAGACGCACAAACAGATGAGAAGAGACTCCATATCTCAAGACAAGGTGCTGTTTTTTGCAGCCTTCCCTCTAACTCACTGGAGAGCTAAGTTTGGGAAAGGTTATGAGCACTGAAAGCTCCTCAGCCTAGCAGAGCACATCTGGGTTAAACCAGGTTTGCTTCCTCCCACAAAGATGCCCAGCTCTGACTGAATTTTGATGGAAGACCTTAAGCACTGCTCTGTTCTGCCACAGGAGCAAATGCTTTGATGTGACCACTTAATGAAGATGCTTTATTATAAAGAAGTTGCTTTATTAGAAAGAAGGTCAACCATTTAATGAAACTGGAAGTCCACTTGAGCAGATCCTCAGGAAAGCAGGGAAGCACGTTTACTTTGCAGCAGCCCTTCTTGGAAGAAGTCTCAGCTCCAGCAGAATCCAGGCCAAAAGGACAAAGCTGTGGCAGATGCCACCATCCCACCAAAGGTGACCTCCTCCAAACTCAGCAGCGTTGCAGGTGCAAGTGTACAAGTATCATTTCAGTGGACACCACACTTGGACTCACTGAACTGGCAAGAAAGAATTCAGCCTTTTTGTCAGAAGGTGCCACAGCCTTGTCCGCACCAAGTCAGCATGAGAACAGAGCTGCTCTTGCTGCTTGATCCTTCTTCACAGTGGCATCAGATGAAAGGTGCCCTTTTGGCACCTGCACAGCATCAGTGCCCCAGGTTAGGACAACCTTCTCCACAACTAAATGCACCTTTTTATTTCTGCAGCACCAGCCAAGCAACTAGGTCACCTCTGTTAATAGTGGGAAGACCTGGAGCCTGCCAACAGCACAGTGATTTCCCTCCAGGTTTAAAAATAAAAGTAAAAATAAAATCTTACCGTGCATTGCCCATGTCTGAGGAGTCGGACATAATTTTAATACAGGAAAAAAGATTTTCAGCCATATCACACTTA